TCTATTCGCCATAATAGGTACTACTCCCCAGTTTCCCCTTTCACTTCCCCTTAAATATTCCCGGTTAGAAATAGAACATATTACTTACAATAATGACACTAATGGAGCATATGCACGTTAGTTCCTGACTCTCCTGAGATGGTTAGTTGGTAGTGTCAAGCCGATATGGGGGTACCAGCCCCGATAATAATCCACAGTGGTCTAGAATAGCTCATAGATAATAATTACCTGTGAAAACATGTAAGATACAGATGTGAACTAAATAAAAGGTAGCCAACATGGGTGAGGCCCTGCTAGTCGAAATAAAAAAAAATATATATATATTATCTATACTATAAGCTTAAGGACATAAGAACTTTAAAAATCACTGTTATATTGAAATAAAACTTTTGGGCAAAGGCTAAGCAAGTTTGTTTGTATAAGGAAAGATTTGTGACTGTTCTTCTTTATAACTTTGTTTTTATATATATTTTTTTATCTATATGTTATTATTATTATTTTTACTTTATTTTTTAATATCATAAATTTAATCTTAAAATTATATTTAAGCAAAGTTACTGGATCTTTTGTTTATTTTAATCAAATCTTTTTAACTACTTTCTATTTTATACACAATGTTGTACCAATTAATTTTTTACAAAAATTCAATAAATTCCAAAAATCAAAATTAGTTTTATCCTTTCAAATAATCAATATATACTTAATAACCAATCATATATCAATAATTCAATATAATAACAACAAAACTGACTTAAATCTATTTGTAATAACAATATAATAACTTCATATTACAACACTTAAACGGCTTTTTTAATCAATATAACAATAACTTTAATGTTATATATATGTGAAAATTCTGGACTTTTCATATATCTTACTTAAATTTAAACAGTTGTTATATGGTTTTATAGGTTCAAGTAACAAATTTAAAATCTAATCAATAATACAATATCTCTAAAAGCTACTATTATGGTTTTATAGGTTTAGACAGCATAATCAAAATTTAAATTTTAAAATTTTTATTAATGACTTTATTAATATAGTTGTTTATAAATAGGTATAAGCCATTTATAAACTATTTTTGATATAATATTATCTTCTTAATACAATATTATTTCAAAAGTTCTATATGCTATAGGCTAGTATTAACTTAAATAAATACTTAATATAATAATAAAATTATTATTTAATTAATAAAGTCTTGTATTTTATATTATTTGTAGTAAAAAAAAACAAGAAGATTAATTTTATAAAAATTCTTCTTGAGTATATAGAGATAATAGTAATATCAGGTATTTAGAATAGAAATACTTATTTAATATATATTTTTGATTATTTGAATTAAATAAAATTAGAGTTTAACTATATAAAATTTTATATATATAATTTTTTATAAGAGAATTTTCATTTTTTATAATTTACTGTATCTTTTTATATATTTTTAAACTTTAATATAAAGACTAATGATTATTGAAAATACTTTTAATAGCTTTTGTATAATCTAATTACAATTTTAACCAAAGTAATTCCATTATAACCTTTTTCAAATTAAGCTCTTTTAAGTAAGAAAAAAAATTTTTATCAAAAGGTTTATATCTTTTGACTAAAGCAACTTTAGTTTAAATAAAATTTATATTTGATTAAGATAAGGTATTGGCTTCCAAAGAATAGATGAAATGGATATAAGGTAAAAAATAAGATACTTAAAAAAATTTTTTAAGAAAAAAAGAAAACAATTTATTAACAGAAAAGTAAATTAAGGAAAGAAAAAAAAATATTTTTTGCTTATAATTGTCAGGTATATATAAAGTCTTGTTACAGAAAAGATTGATCTCTTTAAATCTTTCTTTTTTTTGTTTTAAATTTCTATTTAAGGATCCTAATAATTTTATATTTAATTCTATTTGATTTCAGTTTTTATAATAAATTTAATATATGAATTATAATCCATTTATGTTTTTTATATATATGCGAGTCTATACAAGTCCATGCGATTTCAATTTTCAGGATTATATTTCTAATATATATAAATTTGATAAGCTTATATTTTTTAAACAGGAGTATTTCTTTAGATATATAATATTTAATAGTTAAAGAAATTTTATATAGTATTAGCATATCTTAGATTTCACATGTTATAAAGTTTTTATTTTTTATAAAAGAAAAGAAGCAAGGAAAAAATGGAAAATTTTCTAAAAAGAAAGTTTTCAGATAAAGTAAAAATAAGTAAAATAGAGTTTTTTTTCAATTTTATTATTATTATTTTATTATTATTATTTTATAAATTTAATATTGAAAATATTACTTATAAAAAGAAATAATATTATAATTTAAAATAATTAAAATATTAAAGATTATATATAGTAACTATATAATTATATAATTTAATTAAAAAATTTAAAAAATCCTTTGAATTTTTATAAATTTCATATATCAAATAATTTATAAAATAAAATATTTTGATATTTAATTAGACAAATAATTAAAGTTATTCTGTTAAATTAAAAATAAAGTATTTAAAATATAATTACTTAAGATTATTAAAGTTAATTACTTAATATAATTATATATACAGTATATATAATATATATTGTATATCTTATTTAAAATATAACAAAATTTTTAAAGTTTTTTTATATAATAATTCTAGTTTATTAGATATTTTATAATACTTTTATAAATATTTGTGATTAATTATTTGAAGTTTATTTATCACATTTTAATTATTATATTTTGATTGATTAATAAGTTATACAAATATTTATAAATTTATTTTTTTATATAATAAGAAATATTATGAATATTATAAGAAATCATTTTTTTATAAAATGACAAGAAGTTTTATTATATATAAAAAATTGATTTAAACCTTGACTTTTGAACCAAATCGAACCGAGTTGTGACTTTTAACATCTCTAATTACTGTATTTGAATACTTGAATTTATTTAATTAGAATACAGGACATATAAATTCACTTAATAAAAAAATGTATAATTATAAAATAATTTATTATTAATTATTATTATAGAATTGAAAATAGATTGTTGATTTTTTTGCATTTATTAGCAATAAATAAAAAAGGAATTTTTCCTTATCGGTTTGCATAGTAAAATTTGATCAAAGGATTGATTTGGTAAAAAGAATTTTTTGACAGTTCCATTGTAACAAGATTTTACTGGTAATCTGTTACACCGAGCGTAATTTATTTTGCTTGATTTAGGTTTCATTTCAATATGCAAAGATTTTTTATTGAATCCTTATTAGGTTCCAATATATCGAGTATCGAGTTTCATGTGTATTTTTATTATTTATTTCTTTCTTAAATTTACTGTAAATAGGTGATTTTTCATTACATGATGAACCAAGTCTATATGAAAAAGTTAAATATGGAATCATATAGATGATTTGTTTGATTAAAGGTTTTTCAAAACACTCAATCATGTCGTTTTAATTGGTTTTAAAACTTGGCAAAGAGCAGCTTGATACTAAATCCATCCATGTGTCAGCATAGATACGATGAGCATGAAACAAATAATGTATGAACTTGGAAGGATTAACCCTTTAAGAATTCGACCGGCACAAAGATATGCTACATTATACCGTTTCAGCGCTCAGAAGTTGTCCTATAAATAAAGCCGTGTCCTTGGCCTGGAGAAAGTTTGAATTTAGAAGACAAATAAGTCATCAACCTCAAAACCCGAATAATAAAAAAGAAAAATGCATTCCTCAAAACTCATCATCGCCTTCTTCCTTTTCGTTTTAATTCTTTCCGTCGCCGCCGCAAGTTCCGAACTTGAACTCCGTGCCGAAAAACCAGAAGCCCATCTGAACAAACGACAATATTATTCTTCTTCGGCTTCTTCATTGGAACTTGGAAGCTTTGGCGTCTTTGCATCGATGCTAGTGGTCGGTGGAATGTCCGTGTTGGGAAATTTGCTCATTTAAACGACCGCAGTTGTAGTTAGGATGTGAAGGTTGAGAAGAGTTGTAAATTTTTTCTCGAATAATTGCAGGTTTTCAATGTTCAGAAAAGAATCATGTAAAAAAAAAAAAAAAAATCTTTTGCATACAGTATTTGCCTAATTTCAGTCACAGAAGAAAAGAAAAATTTTTGCATTATCCAATGTTAACATAATAAAAGAAACGCATGCACGAGTTATTTATCGAAAATTCTTCGTTTGTATTCACCATGACTTCTTTTAACAGTTCTTATGAAAAAAATAAGATCTCGTGATGATATGAATTATTGACATTGTCACATTCTCGTTCTAACCACTGGTGTTGTGGTTTAAACACAAAACTTGGGGGAGAAAGAAATTTGCGCTCACAAATCAAACGATTTTAAATATCTTTTATTGAGTTCCGCTTTGATTTACAAACCCCTTATCTCTTATTAGTTCCGATGCAAATACAACTCAAAGAACCCTAAACCCTATTAAAGGAGGAAGAAATGGAAATATTAAAAAAAAATAACTACAAAGACAACGAGATAAACTACTGCTGTTTCTATATAGTATAAAGTAAAAACAATTACTGTATAAATAGCTTGTCAAGGCATGTACGTATATTATAAACAAGCTCGGCACAATATGTACTGTATATGTTCAAGTGATATTATAAATGGGAAAAGAATATACTATATATGCATAAAAAAAATTATCAATACAAAAAAAAAAAGGAAAATAGAAAAATAAAACTTTTGGAATAATTACATGGAACGTAATTCTATATGTTCTCACAGTCATAATAATAAAGATGAACGATAAAATTGTTCGATACATATAGAATCACAATTCTCGAGGAAAAAAAAAAAATGTATAAAACAACGAAATTCCCGTGATCATTACAATTGTTAATCGCATGATCGACGGAAATTAAGGTTTAATTTATCAGAAAAAAAAACAATAATATAAATGAAAATAAAAATATACACGAGAAAATCAAATCATTCCTGTGAAAATATTAAGGATTAATTTAGACAGGACTCTTTCATTGAATGAAATGTAAGGTACATACAAACGAACATTACCTGTTGCAGTGGCGGTGAATTGATGGCTCTTAAAAGTTTGTTCAGCACGGTGAGGGAACCTTCGTTTCCATGTTCGGCGGCCTTTCGATACCAATATATTGCCTGCTCTCGATTCTTGGGCGTTCCTTTACCCTTCTCGTAACAATCCGCAAGGAAGTGCATTCCGAGCATATTAGACTGTCGCGTTGACTTTTTATAACAATTAAATGCTTTGCTAATGTCTTTCTCCGTGCCTTTGCCAAATTCATAACAGTAGCCGACCCAATTCAGACCGTTGGCGTTCCCATTCTCCGCCGCCTTTTGGTACCATTGGAAAGCCAATTTTTCGTCAGCCTTCGTGCCCATGCCAGAAGAATAACATTCTCCGAGCAGGTACTGGGCGATGGGATAATCCTTTTTGGCGGCGGCGAGGTATAGGTTATAAGCCTTTCGTAAATCTATCTCGGTGCCGATGTCATGCAGATAAAAGTAGCCAAGGAGAGTCTTGTATTGTAGTTTGTGTTGATTGCTGTGCAGCCATTTCAACACCTCGTGAGCACCACGGTTCCTCTTTATGATGCAATCCAAAATGAGTTGTCTGATCCTGACATCGTCTTTGCCAAGTTGTTGCTCTTCGACGAATAGGTCAACCAATTCATCAACCAATTTTCTTAGTGCCTCTTGCGCTTTGCGGTCGGATAAGGGTTGAGGATTCGCCTGTTTTTTGAGCCTTATGTCATCGAGGGAACTTTTGGAAATGTCATGCATACGAACAGAAGTTGTAGCGGTCATGATGAATGAAGAATGAGAGAATGACAAACTGTATGTGTATATGTAAGTAAGTATGGGATGAGTGAGTGAGTGGAGTGAGTGAGTGAGTGAGTGCAGTGAATGAATGAGTGAGATGGGATGGAAAAATTGTCGTCTTGGATAATATCACAATTTTTTTTTATTATTTTATTTTTATGATAAGATGGTCGTGAAAGATAAAAATTTCAAGATTCACACAAGAAAGGACTCGGCAGCTAAAGAGAAGAAGATAACGAAAATTTATGTAATCCGTGCAGTACAAATTTTTGCGATGTTCTTATACTCGTTCATTTGTGATCATAACACTAACAACCCTATCACTAATTTAACCTACAATAAGGGGGCTTTGAAATAATATACAGTTTAAACATTACACTGTGCAATATATAATTTATTTATTGCATATAAGACGATACACGCGAATCATTAATGATTGTTTCACCGTGACACAAATTTAAAGTATGGGTGGTATCCTTGATTTCTGTGGGGTCATTTAACCGTTATAGAAGTGATTTAAACATCTTCCGCTTGTGTCCCAAAATAATTTTCTAATTAGGATACGCACATACGTACGTACGTACGTACCTGCGTTAATACAAGTTGTCAAAAATATCTCGGATGATAGATGATATGTACAATCCCAAAGGTTTCTAAAAATTCTCGGTGTGTGCGAACGCGCGTTTACCTTGTATCACATTTTCATTCGGCTAAAATTAAACAAGAAAAAAAAAAAAGTGATTCTCGGAATTGCGTATTGATTACATACAATGGATTCCCATTAATAAAATGAGTGACATTGATGTGTCAAAGAAAGAAAGAAAAAGAGATCCTTATTCAGACTGACACAAGGATTACCAAGATCAGTCGTTGTGATCAACCCTCTCATGACCAACTGAGGAAAATCAACCGCGATTCGGGTGTTCCTTGGGGTACACTCCCTACCGATTGCGTGTTTGCACATGACCTCGGCAACGAAAAAAAACAGAAAATGCCGACTCTGTAACAAATAAAGTTAATTATATCTCACTGTGTCACTCGACGGAAAATTGATTTGTCTTTAATGTTGTACATTTTGTTTACCCTTATTACTTAACAAAAGATGTTATGCGATGCAACTAATTATTTTATTCTCATCCGTTCTGTTTCACCATTGCCCTTGCTGTCTTTAACGGACACATGAAAGAAGGTTTCTGATGGTCATGTCATGTCATCCTTCCCGGGGGTGCACCAAAATACCTAATATTAGATTACCAATCAACGAATTACCCCACAAATGATGTAAGAACTCTACTAACTAGCCTTTTTTGCGCTGCGTCAGGGAGTTTCGAAAGTTTTCACCTCTGTAATTTTCCGAGCTATTCCGGACACCGCCTCTACTTACGATGTGTGTTCTTTGTGCAAAAGTATTATTGGTATTATTTGTACACACGTATGACTCATATTTACAACAAGGTTGAATGATATCATTTCATATATACTGTATATATTTTTTTTTCGAGGAAATAAATTTAGGCATGTCTCACTATGTGATCCGGCATCAGACGCACGGTTAGCAACACATCAGCTATTAACCTAATACAGAGAACAACATTACAATAATAATCGATGATGATTGACATTAATATTTCGATCATTAGTTGATTGGTGTTTTTTTCGGATCTATTGCATATCGTTTGTAGTTAGATCTATCACGCCAGGGTTTATGTCGTTCCACCAGAGATGCCCTTTCCCCAGGACCGTTAGCGTTATTAGATAAAGTTTTTACGAGAAGTACTCCTTAAAACGAAGCGAAACGAAACATTGTCCTAACTTGACAACAATACGATTTGCTCGAGGTTGGGAACCAGGCGAAATCACGCGTAAGAATTCTTATAGAGATGAATGGACGGATTACAGACAATGACAAAATAAATAAATAAATATGTATACGTATATATATATATTTGCTGCATTTTTGAATAAGGTTAATGTGTTAGGGAGAAGACACTGTAGATATTCACTTCTTTTTATTCTTCTCGGCGGGAGAGTCGTTCATTTCCCTACAAGGAAAATGCAACCACCCACCATGGTCCGGTGGCTGCACAACTTCAAGAATTTCTTAATCACAAAGTCTGGGGCATTCTCGAATCACACTGGACGCAAACTACAAACAAATGAATACCCGACTCAACAGGTTGGTCAAACACCTGCCTTTAAACCTCTCGGTTGGTTGGTTGGTTGCATATAAAATGGGTAATTTTTTTATTCTTCTTTTTCTACGTTGATCTTGTAACTGTTACCATTACGCAAATTAGAAAGATCGTCGCCGTAATGGCGTGCGTGTCATTGAAAGTATGCCTTTGTAAAACAATAAAGAAATTTATTATGAATGATGTAATTATTTTTGTAAAAGGGTTTCTGAGGTGAACCGATATTATTGATAGGGAGGTATTTCTCTTCATCCACTGCATCCCATCCTGCAATTTGACATTCTCCTCCTTTTGTTCAAGTTTTCCTTAACTAATATAGGCCGCTTTATTTCCTTAATTGGAATAACATCAACAAACGATGGATTCAAATTTGGAATCCCTGAGTCGCCTTTCAATTGACTTGCTGAATTTTTTGGAGAGCGACGATTACGAACAACTAATTGGTATTTCAGATTCATTCCCAGAATATTATTCGCAAAAGGAATTTGACGTGATAGTTAGAGTTGGCGAAGATCCCAACATAGAAGATTTTTACTGTAATTCCGATGTGCTGGAATCGAAATCACAATACTTTCGAAACATCCTACCCCACAGTCACATCTTGGAAGGCGATTGTAAAGTTCTAGAAGAACCTCAGGTTTCGCCGAATACGTTTCGGGCATTGCTCAGGTGAATCTCAAATGCTCGGTCTTCGTTGTTCTGACCCACCCAACCTAATCCTTCTCTCCATCCATCACAGATTCTTTTATAAGAGTGAGGTGAATGTGAGCGAATTGGAATTAGATGGGACGCTCTGCATCGACCTCCTGAAGATCGCGGATCATTTTGGCATCGACGAAGTGACCGGGATATTACAAAAACACATCTTGGAGAACAAATCCGAATGGTTGCACGACAACTTGGTCCAAATCATTAACGGAGTTTTCACAAGCGACGGCGAAGAGAGAATCCGTCATCACCTAATTCATAAGATCAATTCCGACCCATGGCATCTTTTGAACTCCAAAGATTTGGCCAATCTGAACGAACGGTGCTTTTCCTCGTTGCTGGATGACGAATGCCTGTACATCAACCAGGCTACGGCCTGGGACATATTGGTAAGGTGGGGGGTCCAACAGAGCCCGATCTTAGGACACGATATAGCTCATTGGACCCACCGGGAATGGATGCTATTGAGGGATGCTGTGGAGGAAGTCATCTCGCACATTCAATTCTCTCGAATTTCGCGAAATGGTTACTATGGTAAGATCATCTCATTTAGCAAAATCATTCCTCAGAATATACACGATCCCGTTCTCCAATGCTATCTCAATAAGGACCTCCCACACGGACAAAGCGAAATACTGCGACACATCATTTTAGACGATTCGTCCATAATAAATCATTTTCATGCTGACGTGATCCTGAAATGGATTAATTTTGGAAGGGAGAAATCAAAAAATCCACCGGAAAGACGTATGGGCCTAAAACGAATTTTTACCTTCAGGAGATTCAATAAAGCCAGAGCGGCATCACCCACCTATCAATTTGACCTCCTATTTCGCATTACGGCCGAGGATACCGAAAAATTTTCAATGGAAGAATATGAGAAAACATGCAATAAAATTGCCAACACATTGGTCATAGTGAAAGTTCTCGACTCAAAGGCAGTCATAGGTGGATTCGCGCCTAACGGATTGAACCAGGAGTCACTAACACTTCACACCCCGACAACCGATCAAAGTTTCTTGTTTAATTTCCAAAATGGCGAACCAAAAACGGAAAGCTCGATAATTAGCCGGGCGCGAAAAGTGAGAAGCACGAGTGACGAATACATACCTTACCTCTGGCTCGGACCAAGGTTTGGAGTTAAAGATATGGTGATCGATCTGAAAAAGATGAAATGCACATGCCAACCTCAATATTATGATCAAGGGATTTACGGTGGTGACAAGGAATTTGCCATCGGCGAATGCGAAATATTTCAAATTAGTGAATTCTAACTTATTCATTCCCGATGCGGATGGATGCATACATCGACAAATTAATCGAAGAGGAAAAAAAGAAAAATCTTTTAATCAAAAGCAACATCAATGCAATGCCTTTGATGTACAGTAGCTATAAATATGTTGCCATCCTCTTTTCCACTAGCCTCTTACGGATTTACACGTATCAATTACATACTAATTTCGTGTTTGATATATGCGCCAGACGCCAGTTTCAAATTGTCGGGGTTCAGTGCAATACCTTTCTTGTCGTTACGTGTGGTAATCTAATCTCATTGAAAATTATATATAATGGCGCATATATTTCATAGATAACGTTTATAGAACTATTCATACTATCATTTTAGTTATTCCAACATTTCTCACGGGGAATCATTTCTAAACAGGAGTTGAACCCATTTGGAACAAATAAATCTAAACTGGAAAAACCTAATGACTAAATAAAATAAAATAATTTATTATTATTATTTTTTTAATCGATCTGAAATTACGTATGCTCGCAGCAACGCTAATAAACAAAGAAAGCCATTTGCAAATGATTATCTAATTGCCTATTTTTAAAATTTGCTGTCAAATGCTTGATGCACTTGTTTTGATTATAGTAAATTTTTCCTGGAAACATTTTTACTAATTGAGATAGCTGTCTGTCCGAATTCGATTTTTTTTTACTATTAATATGTGGCAATTTCTGAAAAACTAGGGCTCTTCGTAACGTTATACGCTTCCCCAATACATCACTCCTACTTATGGCTAAGCCATTTGCTTGTTTCATCGGATAAAAATGTAAATTTGATGAGGCGTCTCGTGAAGAAAAATTTCACAAAAATTCGAGGCTTAGCGATTTCTCCATAATTATTATCATCTTTGTAGCAAACGGTCATCCGTCTGTCCCTTTATTTATTTATTTATTTATTGTTTTTTTTCAAAGAAAACTTGTCGAATTCATTTATGTCGAAATGTTGCTTGCGTCAATGATCTGTTATCTATTGGGAATCTTGCTGTTGTCGAAATCAGCGCTGACACAGACCACATTACCCGATTCCTCATCTGATGAACCCACGACAATTTCGACCACATCTGATGAGCCCACGGCAACCTCGTCCACTTCTTTTTTAACTCGATTCCCACAGTATTACCTTCAGCGGTGACGACAAATGGAACGCAATCAATTCCGTTGGAATCGAATACCTTAATTTTAGATCCTCGAGAATACAGCAAGTTGATTAAGTTAAAGAATGTTTCCGGAACCGAAGTAAGTTGGACTTCATAATTCAATACGAATGTCACATCCTCCTCACATCGCATTACACCACGTATGCAAATTGCAGAATAGCTCTCACCAGTGTGTTTACGTGTCAACGCCACGTGCGGGGGAGAACCGATTCAACGTAACGTGGGACTGCGAGGCTGGGTAAAATTTCGATTTTCAATGTCACTAAAAGTGAGGGGTTATCATTGAAAAATTTCTCTCTTTGATTTCTAGCTATTATTGTCTCGGTCCCAATGCGAAATATCCATGTACTGCAGGATTCTTTTGTCCGCCAAATAGTTCCGTATCAAAATCGTTCATTATTCTTATGCTTCCCATCAGATGAGATGAAATTGAGGTGTCTAACTATTTTTTCTTCCTTCTTCACGCAGGTGGTACGTATCTTATCGTGGAAATGTAATTACGGGAAATCGTGTGAACTTCTCTCAACCCAGCATTTTCATCCAAATAGCGCAGCCTGCGAAGGTTATTATTGCTCGAGAGACGCGACCAAATTGACTCTATGTCCTTCCGGTGAGAATCAATTTGATACTGCGAAAATCGTTCTTCTGGCGCCTCTAATCTCGACACTTCTTTTCAGGCTATTTTTGTACTCTAGGTACGAGTATATGGATCATTATCCGTTTGCACTTTTCACTTATCTAAAATGTGTCGCACCATCATCACTCAGGCACCGTGGATCCAATTTCTTGTCATTACCTCGCACTCTGTCCTCCCGGGTCGTCATCCGCAAACAAATATTTCCTCGTGCTATTCGTCTTGGTCCTGGCTGCAACGATATTGATCCTGTTGCAGATTAAAAGGAAGTCAGATCAACTGAAAATGATGAAATATCAGCAATACTTACATGACAAGAGGCCACTATCCGCAAAAACATTGGGATCCGTGCCAAAATATTTTGATATCGAATTTGAAAATTTGAGTTTGGTGACGCCCATGGGCATTGAAA